AGGAATATGGAAACAAATGGGAAGATATAAATTGTGGAAAGGAAATTAGGTACCTGTTTATGTTAAATGTAAATAAAATATTTAGATTAAGAGAATATACAATATTATAACGGTATATATATGATATACTAGAAATATATGTATAAAAGATATATTAAGATAAGAAAGAGAAAATGTATAAATATGGATTACTGATGCAAAGATGTTGAAAAGAAGATGTAAATATATGTTTTTGTTTGTTTGTTTGTTTTTTAAAAACTGTTTAATAAAAATTATTTTTTTAAAAAAAGAACTTTTGGTCTTGAAATCACCTTCAGATAAACCACAGACTGTCATCCCGCAGTGCAATGATGGTTAGAACTCTGCTAGTGGGCACTGTACACGGCAAACCATCATCCTGACCCAGCAAGGTTATTCTTGTCTCCTTTTCACAACAGTGGCTACAATTTTTAGGGTTTTTTTTTTTTTCCTCTGCTCCTGTTCAAAAGCTGATATCATCTCATTGCGGTAGCTGCCTATTACACTTCCTCCTCCCCTATCTGGTAAACATCACACGCTCCCTCTCTCCTCCACCCCATTCAAGAAAATAATAACCACAGATTCGTCAACTCAAGGGCTGCCAAAACATATTTCAAAGCAGCTGGCTGCGTTTTTCAAAAGCCCCCTGAAAAGGGAAATTATACGCCCAAAGCCAAGTGTTCCGATCCTCAATTGCGCGATCCGATCGTCCGCCTTTTTTTTTTTGAGTCCGTTCTGTGCCGGCCGTACAAATATCTTCGTTTTATTGCCAAGATGAAGTTTTGAAGATGAGACGAATAAGGGCTTTGCACAGTCCGGGGCTCTTTGAGAGTACCAGGCAAGTTTGGGTTTTAATTAAGAGGAATGAAAGGAAATTAAATCATCGGATCTAGAACAAAGAACTCCGCTTCCCAACCCAGGCTGAGTCATTGCTTAAATTACTATGTAGCTATGATGAAAGTTGCATCACTTCCAATCAGTGGTGGGATGCAACTGGTTTAACATCCGGTTCGGTGAACACGCGCTTCGTGTGTGCACGTGTGTTTCATGCTTGCACAGCATTCAAAATACAGCAATTTGAAGCTCAGCTGCTTACCTTCTAAGGCAGCCCTGGTTAGTAGAATGGCGGAGGCGCGAAATCAGCTGTGCCGCCAGAAAGAAGGAAATATAGGACAGGATACGGCGAGGGCAGGTGGGCAGGGCCAGCTGATCGTCAGAACTACCGGTTCTCCCAAACCGGTCTGAACCGCCCCTGCTTCCAATGCTTGTAAATCTTTGATGAGGTTCGTGATTCGGAATCTGGATATCGTTAGGACTGTGGGGTGTCCCGCCTCGGATTCCAAAAATGAGCCTCAGTGCAGGAAGAAGCATTTATACTAGGGGTCAGCATGCGAATTTGTGGGCCCTCTGCTGTGGCTCCCTGTCAGGTGATCCCACCACTGGCTGGCCCCGCCCCTCGCCCTCCCCTCCCAGTCACTCCTCACCTGGTCTGAGAAGGTAAGGGTGGCAGTGGGTGATGGAGAAGTGGCCAGGGCAGAGACAGTGAGATACAGAGAGAGGGGGAAAGAGAGACACACAGAGAAATACAGAGGGAGAGGGAGAGGGGAGAGAGGGAGGGAGGGAGGGGAGCGGGAGATAGGTCAAAAGGATTTTGTGGTTCCCGGTGTTTTTTACCAACTGGTTCTCTGCCCTTATGACCGGCTGGGTAGGCATGGCTAGGGGGTCATGTGACTGGTGAAAGTGAGTGACATTGAGTTGGCCACGCCCACCCAGGTTTTGTGGCTCCCGGTGTTTTCTTTTCTGTGGGAAACGGGTCCAAATGGCTCTTTGAGTATTTAAGGGTGCAGACCCCTGATCTATACAGAACTTGTCTGTGTCAACCCTGAAGCGAACCTGGCTGAGACCATCTTGGAGGCTTCAGGTTTGCCACAAGGAAGAAAAAGGGACAGGAAGGGGGCAGAGAGCTAGCTGGCGGTGTGTCGTCAAAACAAAACGTTTTCCTGTGGGAACCAAGGACACTCCAACAGGTGGTTGGAGAGAGGAGGAGTGAAGTAACCAAGCAACCGGCCAGCATCTCTATTGGACAACGGGACTGATGACTTGGGAGGGAAGGGAGACCTTTTACTTTTTCATCTGGTGAAAACTGCGGGAACTTTCAGATTTCGGTTTTCACCAGTTGTGCCAATATAAATCGTTCCTTGAGGAATCTAACTGCCTCGGAGTTCTGCTTTCAATGGGTTGCATTACTTGGACCGCTGACATTCTGCAATTCTTTAAAGCAGCCTGATCTTTCCCCAGAATTGTGCAGCTGTCCTGGGAAAAGATGCAGCTGCTTTAAAAAGTTTGCAGGCAGGGGCTACTTTTATGCAGGTCTTCGTGTCCCAGAGCAGAGATCTCCAAACTTGACAACTTTAAACCTGGCTTTAAAGCTTCAAGCCTTAAAACTTCTTCAGCTCTGACTGGATGGTGGGGAATGGAAGGATTTATACTCCTTGCAGACAGCTGGTCATTTGTCTCCTTTTTAGAGGGTCGTTGAAGCCACTTGGAGGTTTGTCTGTGTCCTCAGGATCACCTGAGTAGTGCAAATGGGTGTGGAGCCTTCTTGGAAGTGCCGAAAGGACTGTGCAATTCCAAGAAAGTGTTCTGTCCCCATACCACGCACACACCCAACCAGCCAGCCGAGGGTTAAATAAACTCTTCAAACACTCAACATCAGTGATAAGGAACTTGGCAGCAACTCCGTGGCTGCCTGCCAAGAACTTTTACTCCGATAACACAGACAAAAATACACACAGTTTGAATAGTCCAGTTTGTAATTAAATCCACAGCAAATAGGTGTTGTGTCCGAAGGTGCAAAGTGCCTCGCCAGAGATTAGCTTTGTCCGTCACAGAGTCCGAATGGCCACCACACTCCCTTTTATAGCCTGTGGGGTGTGGTCCAGTGACTCAGCTTAATCTCTGCCACGCCTCCTTTTTCTGCTGAGCCCGCTTGTCTCTCCGACGCTGGCATGGGTCCAACCACAATGTTTCTTCGTCACTATCCGACGGCTCGGAAACACCTGGCTCCTGGCCAATCTCTTCTCCTTCGGGAGACACCTGAGGCATTGCCAGAGAGGAGGGTCCTGGAGAGGGAGGCCTGGCCGTCTCCTCTCCTTCATGTTCGGAGCCTTCTTCCTCCGATAAGATAGGCTTGGAGGACGGAGCCACAACAGAAAGCTCCGCACCCATTTGCACCACTCAGGTGACTCTGAGGACACAGACAAACCTCCAAGTGGCCTCAACGACTCTCGAAAAGGATGCAAATGACCAGCTGTCTGCAAGGAGTATAAATCCTTCCGTTCCCCACCATCCAGTCAGAGCTGAAGAAGCTTCTTGAATGAGAAGCGAAACTTCTTCAAAGAAAAACAAGGAAGTCCAGTTGCCTCTTGAAAAAAAGCACCTTTGGGACAACCACAACTTGGATGACTGAGAATCTGCATAGACATTTGGCAACGGACATGTACTTATGACGGTTGCAGCATCCTGAGGTCACGTGATTGCCACTTGTGTGACCTTCCCCGCTGACTTCCAACAAGCAAAATCAAAGGTGGAAGCCAGCTTCACTTAACAACCGTGTGACTCACTTAACAACCGCGGTGACTCGCGTAACCACTGCAACAAAAAAGGTCATAAAATCAGGCATGAGTCGCTTAACAACGGCCTTGCTTAGCGACGGAAATTCTGATCCCAATTGTAGTCGTAAGCCGAGGACTACCTGAATATATTTTATTTCTATACAGCTGTTGATAAAGTTATTTAAGGAACGCTCAGGGTCTTCAGCCCTTTTAAACGGCAACAACTGTTTGCAAACAATCTGAGCCACGGAATTCATGCTGAACATTGAACGCTGGCCAAATATCCAGAATTCTGGGGAATATTTTGGATCGTTTATCCGTGAGATTGCCAGGAAAAAATGAATTTGCTTTGCAGCTCTTGTCTCAGCCCTAAAAGAGCATATACCATGCTCGCGTGCCACAGGTGGCACATGTAGCCATATCAGTGGGCACGCGAGGTCGGCTCCGGCACGCACATGCTGATTTTCAGGCCTCCTGGGCCCACCAGAAGTAAGGAAACAGGCTGTTTCCTGCCTCCGGAGGGCCTTGGGGGGTAGTGGGGGAGGCCCGTTGTTCTCTCTCCCCAGGCTCCAGAACCTTTCTAGGAGTCTCGGGAGGGTGAAAACGGCCTCCCCCCACACCAGAGGCCCTCTGGAGGTCGGAAACGGCCCATTTTCCAACTTCCGGTGGGACCGGAAGGCCCGTTTTTTTGCTCTCCCCAGGCTCCAGAGCTTTTCTAGGAACCTGGGGAGGGCGAAAACGGCCTTCCCCGCCCCCCCCCCCCCCCCCCTGAGGCCCTCCAGAGGCAGAAAATGGCCCATTTGCCAACTTCCGGAAGGCCCGTTTTTTTTGCTCTCCCCAGGCTCCAGAGCCTTTCTAGGAACCTGGGGAGGGCGAAAAGGGCCTTCCCCGCCCCCCGTGGCCCTCAAGAGGCAGAAAATGACCCATTTGCCAACTTCTGGGGCACATAGAATTATGGGTGTGGGCAGGCACCCAACCACACACACACACACACCGCCCTTCCCCCTCTCCTGGCACACGATGGCAAAAAGGTTAGCCATCCCTGGCATATACATACCTTTCTACATAGCCTTCACAAATTCTATTCCTTTCTGACAAAATAAACTCTACTCAATCTTCTCCTAGCTCTTCTTATTATGGTTTGTTGCACAGTTAGCCAGATGTTTAGTCTGGATCTGGCCATTTTTGTCCACCTATCAAGTCTTTTCCAGGGACTTGAGTTAGACAGGGGCTGTTATTTAATAATATTAAAGGTATCGTCGCAGGAGGCAAGCTCTCCCAAGGTACATTTTGTTGTTGTTGTTATTATTATGATTATTTAGGCTCCCATCAAGAGGAGATCTCAGAAACATCCTTCTGTCCTCCTACCTCAGGAAGTTTGACTTGACCTTCCAGGAAGTGACAATTGCGAGGTTCGTGAGTGCAAACGTGACGGTATTTACACCAATAACATCGGTACGGGCTCTCCACACACGAGAGGCACCTGGAAGGATTAGAAGAGAAAAGAAACATAAAGAAAGCACTCGGAAAGCCGTTCTCGGGGGAGAGGGGGGTTTAAATCAAAGCACTGATCAAAGCCACACTTCAATGTTCTAGTCCTCAAGCAATGCCCGGGTTAAGTTCCACCTGAGCCATGAAAGCCAGCTGGGTGACTTTAGGCCAGCGACCAGGAAACAGTGAATTCTAGTTCTGCCTTAGGCCTGAAAGCTAGCTGGGTGGCTTTGGACCAATCACCAGGAGATGGTGAGTTCTAGTCCCACCTTAGGCATGAAAGTTGTCTGAATGATTTTGGTCCAATCACCAAGAGACGGTGAGTTCTAGTCCTGGCTTAGGCCAGTCACTAGGAAACAGTGAGTTCTAGTTCTGCCTTAGGCCTGAAAGCTGGCTGGGTGGCTTTGGACCAATCACCAGGAGACGGTGAGTTCTAGTCCCACCTTAAGTATGAAAGCCGACTGGGTGACTTTGGGCCAATCACCAGGAGACGGTGAGTTCTAGTCCTGCCTTAGGCATGAAATTTGTCTGGATGATTCTGGACCAATCACCAGGAGATGGTGAGTTCTAGTCCTGCCTTAGGCATGGAAGCTGGCTGTGTGACTCTGAGCCAGAAATTCTCTCTCAGCCCAAGCCACCTCACAAGGTTGTTGTTGTGGGGAAAAGAGAAGAATTAAGATATGTTCACCGCCTCAAATTATTTATAAAAAAAAATAAAGGTGGGATATAAAATAAAATCAACGAACTTTATCGTGGTCAGTGACCAGTGTAAACCATGGGTAACATTGAACCTTCAAATCTAACCATCCTTTAAGCTCCATTTTTGGGCTCAAACAGTTCAAAGCAGTTTATGTGTCCGTCTTCGGAAGAAGAAGTAAGACTTCAGTGATGGAACCCCCCTATGCCTCTCCAAATCCTGGGTTCACTTCCGGAGCTTGAGCTCAGGAAGTGACATAAAGGTAGAACTTGGGAAAATGCTCCTCGCAGTGTTTCTGTCTTTAGAGAGTCAGAGCTAAACCATTTCCCAAGTCCTGAACCTTATATGCTGTGATGGTCACAAGTGCAAGGACTGATTGCAAGTAAGTGTGTTTGTGTGTGTGTATGATTCACACACACACACACACACACACACACACACACACACACACACACACACACATTCTATCTATCTGTCTGTCTATCTATCTATCTCTTATCTATCTTATCTACTGTAACTATCCATCCGTCCATCCATCATCTATCTACCTACCTACCTATCTATCATCTATTTATCTATCTATCTATCTATCTATCTATCTATCTATCTATCTATCTAT